GCGCTTCAAAGTTGGAAGACGTAGACAAAAAAGACTTAGGAAAGATGTGTCATTCTGAACCCGTCCACAGAATATTGGGATAATCATATTTAAATGGAAAAATAGCTCTAAGTAAGCCTTTTGTAAATTTAAAAAAAATAATCAAAAGTTGCAGTTTGTACTACAGCACGTAAACATCGCTATTAATATAATTATCACACTTTCCGATTTTAAAGAAAGCGTAAGTACTGTTTAGTGTTAACAATTATTATAAGATAATATAATAATAAATTAACATTATTACAGCCTCTATGAGTTTTTTCTTGCTAGTTTTTTTTTTGGTGGCAATTTGAAAATGAGCATATCTAAATTTCCTTTTAAATTTAGGCATTAGTAAGAAGTAGCAAGAAGTAGTAAAAATACAAAATTGGCAATACTCATGTGACACTCTGCATAACATGCATTTTGACAAATTTACTAATCAACCTGACGACTAAACAAAATTCTTGATTTAGTAGTAGTCATGTGGAACGCTAATGGTCTAATGCTAATGCTGTCGAAATAAAAGCATTCTTAAAAATAAACCGTGTCGACATAATGATGGTATCAGAAACACATTTTACGACGCGTAGTTTCTTTAAAATTCCGAACTTTAACTTTATCACACAATGCATCCCAGTGGTAAAGGAAATGGAGGCTCTGCGGTCCTCATAAGGAAATCGATAAAACATTATGAAGTAAAACCATATTGCACGAATGAAATTCAGGCAAGACACATTGTAGTGCAAACTAAAGAAGGCGACATGACTTTCTCATCACTCTACAGCCCACCGCGCCACAGTATCTCGAAGGATATGTACATATCATTTTTTCAGCTGCTTGGATCTAGGTTCCAAGTAGGCGGAGATTTTAATGCTAAACACTTAAAATGGGGAATTCTCCTGATGAAAGCAAAAGCGAATTTGCCGAAACACGTGTACAGATACACAAAAAAAACTTTCGAAATAAAAGTTAGTATATTTTAAAAAACAAAAATAGCCGCATTTACTTAAAATGGGATTCCCGCCTAATATCTTCAAAAGCTAGACAACTTTTCAAAGCTATAAATGTACTCAATCTACACACAATTTCAACAGGTGAACCCACATACTGGCCAACGAATAGAAGAAAAATACCTGACTTAATTGATTTTGCGGTATCAAAGGAGGTACGTATCGAGACAACTACCTATAAGTCTAATTTCGACTTGTCATCTGACCACTCGCCAATAATAATCACTCTCAATGACTGCTGTGAAATTATAGAAAAAATGTATTCTTCATAACAAAAATACTGACTGGAACAATTATCGTCAACTAATTACAATTGGTCTAAATACCGAAGTTAGGTTGAAAACTGAAGCTGATGTAACTTAAGCAGTAGAACAATTCAACTATTGTGCCCAAATGTCTGCATGGGAATCAACTCCACCGTTTCCTAAAAGTGTTAAGCAAGATTATCCATTTAACATTAGATACCTGATCAAAGAAAGGCGTAGGATGAGAAAACATTGGCAAAAGACGAACATTGGCTTAAACAAATTATGTAAACTCGTTAAAGTCCTACTTTTAAAGTATAACAATAATCGCACGTCCCTATGCCTCCAAAACTTAAGTGCTTCATGTGATACAAATTATTCCCTTTCGAAAGCCATAAAAAAGAATAACAGACCGATTGCTTATCAACCACCTATACGCAAAATAGACAACTCATGGGCAAAAAGCGATATTGAAAAAGCAGAAACATTCGCGTTACATTTGGACCAGGTCTTTAAACCAAATGATAACGAAAATGTGCCTGATATCAAGAAACAAAGGATAAATTTTCTACAAGAGCCTTATCAATTGGAACTTCCAATTAAAATATATACTATTAATGAAGTTAGGGATATAATAACAAAGTTAAAAGTAAAAAAAGCTCCAGGATACGATTTAATCACAGGCCTTGCAGCAGCTTCCACCAAAAGGATTTGTATTTCTGACTCATCTGTTTAACGCTGTGATAATAAGGGGCTTTATTCCGCCACAGTGGAAGATAGCGCAAATCTCCATGATACCGAAACCAGGGAAAAGCCCAGAAGACGTCAAATCATATCGCCCAATAAGTCTACTTCCAATCCTGTCGAAAGTTATGGAAATCCTGTTTCTAAAGCGCCTTACACCGATTATCCAACAAAACAGACTCATTCCTGACCATCAATTCGTCTTTCGCCAAAATCATAGCACAATAGAACAAATTCATAGACTTGTCAGACATAACCATAGTGCGATAGATGGTAAAAAATATTGCACTGCTGCATTTATAGATATTTCACAAGCTTTTGATCGAGTATGGTATGAAGGCCTTTTTTTTAAACTAAAACTGAATCTACCCTTAAGTTTTTTCATATTTATAAAATCATACTTCTCGGCTAGGCACTTTTTCATTAAGCATGGAAACGAAACTACAGTACTTCATGATATAGGACCAGGAGTACCTCAAGGTAGCATAATGGGACCAATGCTTTATATTTTATATACTGCGGATCTTCCCCTTACCGATGAGAGTGTTATCGGTACATTTGCAGACGGCACAGCTTTTTTATCACTTGACAGTGACCCAATCCGTGCTTCCACCAAACTTCAAACCTGCCTTAACAATGTTGCTCTCTGGATGAAAAACTGGCATATCAAACCGAATGAATCTGTCCAGGTAACATCTACTGTTTGTTTTAATAAACAATACTGAATTATCACAAGCTGCAGAAACAAAATACTTGGGCATACATCTGGATAGTAAGCTAACCTGGAAATCACACATATTCAAAAAGTGTAAGGCCATGGGTCTTAAATTACGAAACTTATTTTGGTTCCTCAACCGAAACTCTAAACTGTCACTCGACAATAAGCTGCTTATATACAAATCTGTACCAAAACCTATATGAAGTTATGGGGCCCAATTATGGGGTACTGCAGCAGACTCAAACCTGGCAATTACCCAGCGTTTCCAATCTAAAACATTGCGACTGATCACAAATGCACCTTGGTATATAACGAATGAACAGCTGCATAAACAATTACATGTTCGGACAATCAAGGAAGAAATGACCAGTATTTTAAAGAATTACGCTCATCGCATATATATGCACCCAAACCCACTGGTTAGACACCTGATGTCCCCTTCCAACACTTTTACAAGATATTTTTACGAGATATTTTAGATATGTATATGTAAATCACACACTTATTTTAAATATATATGGATATGTCACTGGGTATAGTCCATACGTGTCTTTCTTTTTTTAAATTGTAATAATTATTATTACGATTTATAATTATGTATATTACTTATTGTCATTCATACCTGACAGATTGTAATAAAATAAATGGATTTCAAAAAAAAAAAAAACATTCATTTTCGGCATAGCCCGAATGAGCGAATTTTGCCGTGCCCGAGGCACTCTGCATAACATGGCGCTTTAATATCTGCTCAAAAACTAAAATGGCTTTAAATAGCTCCCATAAAAATTTTTTTATTCCAGATCCTATTTAGAAAAGCAATTTTTACATTCATATGACAATCTTTTGATTTGAATTGGTTTAAAAAAGGTATAATAAATCGAAAGCTTGAAACTTTCGATACTAGAGCGAAAGTTTTATCAGAATCATTAAATATTCTTGTTTGAAGCCGCCTGCCACAAGCATATCTACAGCGACGAACATAGCAATCATCTTGTTTTTTGACGCTGTTTTTACTACCGAGATTTTTAATTAACGAAAATTTTTATAGATAGAATGAATGCTAAATTTGCAACTAAATTCATTATACTATCTCTTATAGTTAGGCCATGTGGGAGTTGATGTAATTCGCGTTCTAATGGAGGGAAATTCAAAATTATGCCGATAATGTAGTGAAATGTTGATATTTAGAATATTTTGTGTTGATACTATAACTGTTACAAATTAAACAACATTTCGTTTTGCTCGTCAAGTTAATACTGATTTTTATTACTTTTCATTTCTTACATCTAACACAGTTTCTAACATCTAATTTCCAATAGAATCTTATGTATCGATTCTATCGGTTGATACATAAATTTCTTGCGTCTAATTGGTTATTGTGTTATTTACTTTACAGTGGCACACATCTGGTTACCAACTGTTTTGAGGGCAAATCATATTGCATGCACTATCGCTTGCAATATGATTCCTTGAAACATTTAACACAAATTCATGTGTTGTGCATACCGCAATCCAAATTGCCAAATGCATATTGAAACAACTAAATGTGCATACAAATTATTTGTCATAAAGAAATGACAAAACAAACGAATCAAATTTCTGACTCATAAATTTTTTTATATTTGGCATTTTGGGTTTTCCGGTCATGCTTGATATTTGAGTGTTTCGGGTTAGCGTGACACATTAAATATCGCACACAGCGTGTTGTGTGTGGTCATGGTTAATATGCCACTAAAATTTTCTAAGTGACTAAATCGAGTCTAAATAGAAAAATCGCCAGGGTTACCATTTTAGTATTTTCATGGGATGTTAATTAAGTAAAAAAGTGAATTTAAACGAAATGACAAAAAAAATAATTTTATTAAAACACTTTGTTTTACATTAAAAAAATTAATTATCGTTATTAGAAAACTTTTAACCGAAAAGTGATCATGTATTTTCCATTATTTAATGAGCATTTGTAATAAATTTTGTGAATATTTGTATTTTCTAAAATTGTTATTACTTTTATTTAATATTAGGCGTTTTTGGTGGCTCGCAAGTGAGGCAAAAAATGAATGCTGGCCTATATTCGCTAAGCGAAACATTGGCATCACTGTTGAAAGCTCTCATGTGTTATGTTTTGGCAAAT